TTCTCTCTCTCTCTATATATATATTCCCTCCGTAAACATTAAATTATTTCCGGCTACCCTAGTTTAATAAGAAAGATGATTGATTATATTTCTTTGTAGACTATAAGTTTATAACTTACGGATCATCTATTAATTTATGGTTAAATTATGCTAAACCCCTATAGCGTTAAACCCCCAATAACTTTCAAAATCACATTATACCCCCTAATAACTTTTGCAGACTCCCCCCAAAGTTAATACAATTACATCTGACATGGCACGTGCAACTCACATGACTTGCAAAGATCAAAATATCCCTTAAATTGTTAAAAAATTCCTTTTGACTCTTTTATATTTTCAACCATAAAAATCAGAAATAGCTTGTTTTTAGTCATTCATTTTCCTATTGCTCGCTTCCGGGTTGGGGGTCCCATACCCTAATTGGTTTTTTATTTTTCTTTTGCTTAAATTGTCCTTCAAAATACCTTTTTATGTTATTTTTCCTAATTTTGGGGGTTATCTGCAAATGCGGAAACTTATTGAGGTTTTTGTAATTTTGAAAGTTATTTAGGCTTTAGAGTGATTTTGAAAGTTATTCGGGGTTTAGTATGACTTTTGAAAGTTCTTGCCGGCTTAGTGTGATTTTGAAAGTTATTGGGGGTTTACTATAAAAAACTAAAAAGTTCACAGGGGTTTAATGTAATTTACCCAATAATTAATACCTAATACCGTCGGAGTTCATTCTATAAATGATAACTTAAATTTAAAAGCAAACGAAAGTTCTTGAATCTTTTTAGTAGAAATTGTAGGAAAAGAAACCAATCAATTTAGAATTTATATGGTAATTGATTTACTACTTTATATGCATGACAAAATAGAAAATAAACCCATCATATAAGAATTCTAATTTAATATTAAAATAACATATAATCCATGACATTATTTGGTGAGCTAGGTGTCATTGTTTTGTGCCTTTAGAAGTATTCACCAATTACTTCATTTTTAATATAAAACAGGAATATATATAATATATATACTATATATATATATATATATATATATATATATTATATATATGAGCAAATATGGGTAGGCTTGGCTACCAAGCACAAATATTTGCTGCTTGGTAGTGATGTGCTCAACATCCCCATTCACTCCATTACCCATGCTGAAATGTGGCTCCCATATGTTAAATGAGCTTGAGGGAGAGTGACACCTGCATTATCAAGCATAACTTTTTTGTGCTTCAGCGTACCAAGCAGACGCATATTTCCCTCTCTCTCTCTCTTATATATATATATTAAAGAGAGAACTATGAGTATGCTGGGTACCAAACATATTCCATTCTACTAGGTAGGTGAGGTGCGAGAGATCGGTCCCCAGATCTTAACTCTGGATGAGACTAAAGTGGTTGAGCACATTTGCAAAAAAGCCCATCTTTTTTTAAAGAGCGGATTACAACTCACTTTTGAGAGGGCTCATTAGCGCTCACTTGGCGCATGTTCGCGTCGCGGCATGCTTGGGCCGGATGCTTCGGCGGAGCGAAGAGGCAGTCGTCGCGGCTGGCCCGCGATCCTTGGCGCAGAGGAGGAGTCATCGCGGCTGCCTTCGGACGCGATGCAGCCGGCCCGCGATGCTTGACCGGCATGCGAGTTTGTGCGGCGGCGGAGAGTCGACAGGGGCCAGCGAACCGCAGGGAGTCGAGATTGCAGAGAGAGGCGAGAGAGACTGAGCATTATGGCGGCGCGGGCTACTTGAGGTTTGAGAGGCCAGAGACTTTTTGCAGAAGGAAATTAAGGGCCCTCTCGAAAAGACTGCGCCGTCTTTTTGCAAAATGGTCCTCAACCACTTTAGACTCTTATCAAAGTTAGATCTAGGGACCAGATCTCTCCACCTTACTTACCCAAGTAGAGGCAGTATGCTTTGGTACTAAGCACTATATACTATATAATATAGTATTAATATATATATACTACTATATATATATAACATTGGCTGCAGATTCCTTTTATCAGAGGTAAATCTAAATAGTTGCTCTTTGTTAGTAATGTGATCAACTTGTTTGAGGATACATCCATAACCAATGTTTGACGCATCAGTTTTAACAATTTTAAATCACTGTGTAATAGCTCGATGTGCACATGGTAGCCTTTTAACATTTAATTTAATTTTAGTATTTTACAGACAACAGCAGTGTGTCGATTTGTCCAAGGGGAAGCATTCTTTTTTAATCTACTATATAAAATGGCAGTGTCGTGTGTAATATTATGATAATAATCTGCTACATAATTCAATGCACCAAGAAACCTTTGTAATTTTTTGGTGTCAGTGATTATGTCTGGAAACTTAGAGGCAAACTCAATGCTTCGGTCAATAGGGATTATTGTCCCTTTGTGAATATTATGACCCAATAATCTAATCCGAGTCTGGAATAATTTCATTTTTAGGGCTGATATAGCCAACCCATTTTAGTCTCTACTAAAACCATCTTTCCAGGCTTTGTATGCACTTTAGCTTTAGGTGCTAACGTGCTTAAAGCTTTGTAATGGATGCGGTATATAATCGCAATTATTTCTGATCCAGGTAAGAATTCTTATCCTTGAGTCTTAATGTTAAGGCTCATAACTGTTAAGATAATAGGATCTGTTAGAGATAAAGATTTGGGTATACATTAAAGTATATTGGTCCATTACATAGACTAGTTTCCATGATGCCCATTAAAGATTGTGTCTAATTTAGACATCTTGCATCTCGTAGTAAGCAGGATAGTAACGATGTGTTAAGTCCTTATAATTTCAAGGGTCTAAATGCTACTTGAATTAATCCAATATGGATATACTTGTATTGCTCTATATAAGGCTTAATATCTTCAGGACTAAGCAATTTAATTGTCTGCTCATATTGATCTACTGTTGTGGTTCTTTCTAATGTCTTGATAGCTATCAATGACTTATAATCAAAGAACCCAATTTTATAGATGTCTTTATTAGGGACATTTGGGATGGACTACTTATTAAGTGATTCGAGCTCAGATGGATATTCTGTCAACTGAGCATTCTTAACTTTTTTACTCATATGATGAGCCATCTTGGAAGATGAGGTAAAGATTACCTCTGACATTAAGGGTTTCTTACGGATTAAATTATGTAAAGTCTAACAAGTAAGGATTTATAATTGAACTTTTTCTTTTTTCTTTTAAAGATAAACAAAAACTCATGATAGCACGTCTGTCAATGATTTACACCACCCTACATGCCTTTACGGCTTCAATGGGAAACATTACGCTACGTGACTTGAGTGACGTCCCACTATCATTTCTTATATATATATATATATTATATATATATATATATATATATATATATATATATATATATATATAGAGAGAGAGAGAGAGAGAGAGAGAAATATGCGGTATGCTTGGTACCAAGCACAAATTTTTGTGCTTGTAGTGATGTGTCACATCCCCATCCACTCACTACCCATGTGAATTTGTTCTCATATATTTGAATGAGTGGAGGGGATTTGAACACCTCACTCCAAACACAACTTTTTATGCTTGGTATCAAGCATACTCATATTCTCATTATATATATATATATATTATATATATATATATATATAATATATATATATATATATATATAATATATATAGTAAGAGCTACGTGACTTGAGTGACATCCACTATCATTTCTTTTAATATATATATATATATATATATATATATATATATATATATATATATATATATAGAGAGAGAGAGAGAGAGAGAGAGAGAGAGTAAAGCTCCTATAAACTTAAGTGAAAAGAGATATTTCTCCACCAACTTTTTTATCCTTTGATTTTGCTTTGAGATTTGTGCTAGACATGAAAGGTATCTTTGAGATGTATGCATTGATTTATATCACATTCTAGCGCAAATCTCAAAGTGAAATCAATGGAGAAAGAAGTTGGTGGACAACAAGCTCCTATCCACTTAAGTTTATGGAAATTTTATTTTATATATTTACACACACGCATACACGCGCGTGCACATACATGTACATACATATGTATACATATCACATGCAAACAAGCACATTGAGACAAATAGACGCTATACATATCTATACACACATATGTCAGTTTCCCATAGGGAATAATTGATATCGCAATCATTCAGCACAATAATATATAAAGAGGTGGAAATTGGAAAAACTTACTTAGCTAGTCAAATCCAACTGGGCGAGTAAGCTGATCTAACCAGTCACTCTTGATAGCCCATTTCAGTAAGTGACAACCAGCCAATGATGCAAATGGATCAAATATTGTTATTATTATTAGCCATGTTTTTTAGATCCAATATTGTTATTATTAATAGCCATGTTTTTTGTTCTTATGTTCTAAAATGGTAATTTATTCAACTTTTGGCATTGCAGGAATCCTTACAAAACTATCAGTTGTTTTGCTAGTGGGATTGCTTGCATTGGCATATCAGGCAATTAATCCTCCACCTCCTAAAATCTGTGGATCTTCCAATGGTCCACCTGTCACATCATCCAGAATTATACTTAAAGATGGAAGGAACCTTTCCTATATAGAAACTGGAGCCCCGAAGGAGACAGCCATGTACAAGATCGTTTTTCTTCATGGCATGAACACCAGCAAACATAGTGCATTTCCCATCTCTCAGGTACTAGCGATCATCTTTGTGTTAATTTTTATTTCTTATTTCCTGGCAATTTTCCTTTATATGTTGATAGTAATGGTTTTTTCAGGAACTGATGGATGAATTTGGGATTTACATGGTGTCTTTTGACCGGGCTGGATATGGAGAGAGTGATCCAGACCCAAATAGGTCTGTGAAAAGCAATGCTCAGGATGTTGATGAACTTGCTGATCAGTTAAATCTAGGTCCCAAGTTCTTTGTTATTGGATTTTCCTTTGGAGGAGAATTAGCTTGGGGCTGTCTCAAATACATCCCTCACAGGTGTGATTCTGATAACATTGGTAATTGCTCAAGTGCTAAGTTTACATTTATTCATGATTTCTGAAACATATAAAACTCTTCCTTGAAGGTGATATTGGCTGAAAATAAATTTTCAAAAGAAAAAGGAAAGTATTCCATGTAGGACCTCAAACATTGCTAGTTTTTAAATGTCAAGTCTAATGCCAATCGAGGGAACAATATCAGTAGATTCTTACAATGATATTCATGTTGGTATATCTGTACAAATCCTAGTTCCTTGTCTGAATGGACTACAGCAGAGATGCCATTTTCAAAATTTCCTTGAAAATCAAAGGAATATAAATCACTGGTGAAGGGACCATACTTAATTTTGGTGCCTTGATATTTGGGTAATTAATCTCTTTCAAGTTATGACCAGTTTGGGGGTGTATAACTTCCATGTTGCTTTCTTTCTTTGCCCTTCTTACAAGAGAAAGAAAGGGGGTAATACCCCATTCCTTTCGTTTTCCATTTATTGTCCCTCTTGAAGTAAATTAAAACTGGAGCTTAGGAGCTGCAAATGTTGGCAGCTCTTATCAAGCTGCTTTAAACACATGTAATTTTTCTGTCTGCGTAGAAATAACTTCTGCAGATTGGTTCTTGAAATCTTTCCCCCAAGGGCCACAACATTAACGGTGATCTGTTCTTTGAGCGAAGTACGTTCCATATGCTATAACTCCATATGTGCTTTCCTCCATTTCTTCTAAGAACGCTCTCTGGAATGGTCACAGACTTGCAGGTGCAGCATTAGTTGCTCCAGCTTTCAACTATTGGTGGCCTAATTTCCCTTCTAATTTATCTAAAGATGCCTTCAGTCAGCTGCTTGTACAAGACCAGTGGGCGTATAGAGTTGCTCACTATGCCCCATGGTTAAGTTACTGGTGGAACACCCAGAAGTGGTTTCCTTCTTCAACTGTTCTAGCACAGGATCCACCTAGTGATATCTTTTCTACCCAAGACAAAGAGATCCTGGCCAAGTTAGCAGGAAGAAATCATCACATCAAGGTACTGAGTTTTTTTCCCAGCATTTTATCTTTAAGTTTTGCTGCGGTAAATTGATTGACATCTCAAAGCATATATATAACCAATGGATGTAAGATCCAGAGAATAGTTAGTTGCACTATTATATAACGAGTAACTTTTGCATTGTGTCATCCATCGAAAGCTCACTCTTTAATTGGAAGGTGCATGGTCAAATCACAGAAATTAACAAATATTGTATGTTTTTTTTTTCAATTTAATGTCGACAGTAATGGTGGAGTTGCTCACATTGCACTTGATCAGTAACATTGGGTTGATTGTAGACACAAAACCTTTGAATTCTGACACACTGCATGACCTACATTTTTTTACATTTGCACAGTAGTAGTGAACAACTTTCAGTTAGCAAATAGCACCTTTTGGATGACTACTAAGACCTGGATCAGTCGTGAAGTGGGCATCAGGTAATTATGAGTTTCCAGTTTACGATCTGCCTACATGTGACCTTTGTTCCAAAAATGATACTTCGACTCGAAGTAGCAACCTGAAAGAGCACAAATAACCAAAACAAAATAATGGCTAGACATAAGTTTCCAGACCCATAATTGACAGAGATGCCCTTTCTGTAGGATGAAATCTTCAGGAGGGCTTTTGAATAACCTCTCTTGAGAGGGATAGAACTTTTTCATTGAAGTTTATACTTGTATTCCTCAGAGAAAATTAACCATGACATCTCTAATTATAATGATTCATCGGAGTTCTTTCCTCGTTCAGTACAATTTTCTCTTAGTTGCTATGTCCTTTAGGTAATGTCATTCTTGATTAAAATTTATTATTATTACTTAATCAAAATGCCACCTTAAAATGGTTCATAGCATCATTCTTATTTATAGGTGCTCTAATTTCAGAGAGAGTAAGTGGTGCATGTGATCCATAGTATTTATGGCGCACGAAAGGAACATCAGTCTTTGGCTTGGTGCATAAATTCTCAATTCTAGTGATCCAAGAGCTGATAATCATTTGGTGCACTATTGCTGCTAGGAACTGGGTGCATTGGACACCTTCTTAATAGAATACCATGTTAAAATGGTCCAAAAGATACCCTGCCATCAACCAAATCAAGTTTAGTTAAAAAAAATCTTCTACTGATGTCTGGTGGCATATGTAAGTCTTACATGTACAACCAATTACATCAATTTTACATAAGCGGTATGCATGCCTCTGATGGCAAAGTATTTTATAGATGCCGGTACATAAAAAAGTCGAGTTACAATTTCCTATTTTCTTTTATACAGAAATGTCACTTAAACCCTCTTAAGTTTGGGGTGTTTTAGAGACCCACGTTTTCAAAATTTTTAACTAACCCCCTAGCAGTGTTAGAGGAACTAGTAAATATACCAAATAGCCTTTTTATTATAATATTCAATTAAATTAAGGGGAATTTTTTAAAAAGGATATTTTTTGCTAAACAATTAGCAAAATCGACCATTTTGCTAATTATTTAGCAAAATCGACCTCTTTTTGGCCAACATGCCAAAAAGAGGTCGATTTTAAAAAATAGCCTGCTCGAAACATACAGGACTAGTAGCCCCGTATGTTTAGTCGCCATTGTAGGCATCGAAAATTGCCTATAGGTCTTCACGAACAGTTCAGTGTTAAAGAGCGACGATGAAAGTCACTATCCGATCCACAGGAGTTCGATTGACGTTGATGAACAATTGAAGTGAATCGACGAACTACGTGAGCTGATAGAATTGCGGAATAACGAAGGCACGGGCGGTATCTGTAGGCATCGAAAATTGCCTATAGGGCTCCACGAACGGTTCAGTGTTAAAGAGCGACAATGAACGTCACTATCCAATCCACAGGAGTCCAATTGACGTCAATGAACGATTGAAGTGAATCGACGTACTACGTGAGTTGATAGGGTTGCGGAATAACGAAGGCACGGGCCAATCAGGAACCCTGCGATGTTCACAAGAAGAACAACGCCCTTCATATCTCGTTCACTCTACAGATAATCCAACCATCGGAGCGGATAGAACTCTTCATTTCGGAACAACGAAGACCCGGGCCAATCGGGAACCCGGCGATGTTCACAAAAAAGGACAACGCCCCTCAAGCCTCATTCATTCTACATGTAATCCAACCATTGGATAGGGTAGAACTCTTCGTCAAGCATCCAACGTACTTGGAATCACTCAAATCCGAGTTCGGACGAAGAATTTACGGCGAAAACAATCAAACATACGCAACGGAGCGTCTCAGACTGAGTTGGGACACCCGGGGTGTCTCGGGAAAGTCGAAACACCCCAAGGGTGTCTAGGAAAAGCCTGGACACCCCAGGGGTGTCTAGGCTTTTCCTAGACACCCCAGGGGTGTCTAGGCACCCTAGGTACTCCCATTGCCTATAAATAGCCCCCTAAGGCCTCATTTTTGAGGATCTGGATTTTTGGAGAAGTTGGCGAAGCCCTGCTGCAGTGAAGAGTGGTCGAGGAGAGGTCTTCATCAGATTCTTCATCACCCGTGCCCTTTCCTTAGTATTACCCTTCGCCGGTAATCACTAAGAAGAGCAGATATCTCGTTTTAGCCGAGATAGACGCTTCAGGCTTCTAGATCTCACGCGGATCAACGAAGCTCTGTCCGATTTTTTTCGGAACAGATCTGAGTGCCAGGTAGTCCACGGATGTTGACGTCCCCGTCACAGGCAAAAGACCCATGCAAGCAGAAGACCGATAAACGATCTCTGCGTTTGTTTTGACGAGAGTTGTAACTTTTGTTTTCATTGTGTAAAAGTCTTATAAAAAGACAATCTTTTTTTGATTTCATTGTAACGACTAAAGTTGTAATGAATACAGCAATGAATACAACAATTTTCGATGCAAACAATGGTGTTCTAGATTTAATATTTTTGTTAGATCTAGACATTTCGATTTGTGGGATATTATAGATAAAACTTATATCGTACCCACTACGGAGAAATCCAAGTGGAGTAAAAATGATCATAGAATGTTTACAATGAATAAGCTCTTGTTAGAATTTTTACTAAATGCTTTTGACTCATCTATTTCTAACAAGTTTGTTCATTTTAATAGTGCTTACACTTTATGGAAATTCATTGAAGCACATCAAGAGAACTTAGAAGCAATCCGACAAACTTTAGAGGATTCTTCTTTAAGTTCACGTGGAGCATCATGCACACGGCCACTAGGCGATAGCCCTAGTGAGGTTTGCGAGTTCGAATCCATTAATGATTTTTCTAGTGATGAACTTGCTTGTGCATCTGAAAAGTTATTGCATGCCTATAACAAATTGCATCATACCTTTTTAGAGTTAAAAAGCAAGAATGTAGAATTAAAATCCGATCATGAGGAGCTAGTGTCAAAATTGGATGTCATTGTAAAAGAAAATACCATGCTTAAAGAAAACAATGACATGTTAATTTTGGAAAATAAAAAATTAACCACATCTATAACTAGCTTTTCTCATGAAAAAGATAATATCATATTAGAAGTAAAGAACATAAAAAATAATACTGCTTCTTTTATAAATGACTATTTATGTTCTACTTCTAATGTTAATGCTAATATGCCTAATGATGAGTTGAATAATGTTAAAAACCGTATTTTTTCTTTAGATTCAACTCTAACTACGTGCATTCACAACCATATGAGGCATGTGAATATGTGTGCTAAGTCTTATGCCAATCATCCCACACATCATGCACACATATATAGCAAAGTTTGCAAATGCTCTATTTATGATCGTAAAGGCCATTTATCTAAATTTTGCTATAATGCACAAAAATCTAAAAATGTTAATATTAATGCTTCTTGTGCATCTCATAAGGCTTCTTCATCACATGCACATGTACATGCACATACTCATCATGTTCATCATAAACATGCACGTGCGTTTAAATGTGATCTTTGTAGTCGTTTTGGCTATTTGGCAAAATTTTGCTTTGATTTGAAAAAAACTTCACCTTTGTCAAATGATTTTTGTTCGCTGGGAAAACTGTTGTCTTTTTCATTGAAATAATCGTCATCTTGGGTTACAAAAGATCCGG